CAAATGGGTTATACTAAGCCAGATATTGCCTTTGCGGTTAACGAACTTGGTAGACATCTGAGTAACCCTAGTGATGCGCACTAGAAGGCAATAGTGAGAGTTATAAGATACTTGAGGTATGCTCGTGTAGATATCTAGCTGTACTTGGAAAGTATAGCACGTTAACGGGATATCAAAGGGTGATAAATCCATCAAAGGCTACGTCTTTACGTAGGCAAGTGTAGTCGGTTGGATGGAAATTCTCGAAATGAATTTGTGATAGTTAAGATCCGACGGGATCTAAACTGAGAGCCTTACACTAGTGTCGCGAATGAGTAGGCCGAATGGCTATGCCATTTTTTCGGGAATGTTCCTAGAGGTAAACTCGTACCTCCAATTTGTGTGCGTTGCGAGAGTCAAGCCAAAATTGGTTAAGTACAGAGTTAGATGTGGAATGGTAAGTCTAGACTTATAAGTCGATGACATAATACCATTAAACAATTTCTCACAACGGGGGTTATCTCTATTGACTACGTGATGTCAAAAGATAACGTAGCAGCCGCTAACTCGCTAACCTGAGGGTAAGCAAATGGTTGTTGAGAAGTTGAAACGAGGAATGGGTCTAAAACCCTTGGACTAAAAGTTCTATAGTGGATACCCAACCTAGCTGGCACCTAGGTTCAATGGGACAACTAAATTATGGAACGGAGCGTGTCACTGTGGGGGTCTCGGACTCCCTACCACTCCTCGTTAGAAACAGTGACTTCCACACGAGGCTAGCATGTTGATGCTTTAATGATTCTTGAGTATGCGGGATACTCGAGAAAGAATCACCTATGTAAGAGAGAAGTGAGGGTCGCTTCAAAGGAGAATTGTTGGGCACAATTCTTTAGAAACTCTCGCAAAACCAGGAACGGTGACCCACGACCAAAATGGGCACACTCATGAGAACAGAGCATGGTTGGAAGGTTCCTGTGTGAGATATGTCATCGTCTACACAAACGGCAGTCGGTTCAAAGACATCGCGTTCTACCGTACAGCCAGTAGAGTAAATATATCTTCACAAGGGAAGGTTCAAAGGGTATAGTGACTCCCTACCTATCCTATGCAGGGATCGACCGTTTGAACACAGTTGTTTCCGATTTCAAAATATCCCGAAAATCAATTTTTCATTCATGTGGGGGATTGTTGGAAAAATAACATTAAAATGGCATTTTAAGTGGCTATTTTGTGGTACAATTATCAGTGGGCTCCACTTCCGATTTGGGTCGGGTCAAAGTGGATTCGGGTTCTTCGTAGTGAGACGAAGAGATTGATATATTATACGCACAAAACGGATAATGGGTGAATGAGATATTGATTCTCAAAGTAGACCCATTTGAGTTGGAAAATGAAGGGAAAAAGTGAGCTTTTGTCCCACATTGGTTTGGAAAGAGGATTTCACCCCCCTTTTATACAAGAGCTTTTTTAGAGCTTGTAGAATTGTATAGCATAGAGGTTCTCTCGCGCGGGGGGAGGGGGGGGGAGTGCAAATCAAATTCCAACTAGAAACGAGATCGGAGAGGCTTGCTTCAAGCCCGAGCTCGTGTGCGCCGGCACCTGCGGGTACGAATGTCGTCCGAAAATTGGCTGGCCTTGCGGGCTAAGTTATGCCAACTTTCGGTGTCATTTTTCCAAAGTCACTTGAAGGCTGCACGAAAGAGAGCAGCTCGCTGAACCGAACTCTCGTGTGATTTCAGGGCCTTGAGAGGCCGAAAGTAACACCAAACGAACCATAGTTTGGCCTTGGTCGAAAGGAAGCACGAGCCTTGGTTCAGCCCTGGCCGAAAGGAGCTAGCACGAGAGTTGTGCTGCTGTTCGACTTCTGCAACCAGTCCAGTGTGAGATTAAATTCAACACTTGCGGAATTAATTTTTTAATTAATTCCAACTTTAAATCTGTATTTAAATCTATGATAATGGGGCTGGCTGTTTCAGGTGTTACAAAGATTGGTTTAATACCAAATTTAATGCCATAATGATGCTATTGAATCCTTCATACCCTATATAAGAAGGGAGTAGGACAGCAGAATTTTTGCATTGGAGTGAACAAGCACACAACACACGAAATTTTGTTTTTCAAGCTTCAAAACGCTGCTTCTACTCCTTTCTTTGTCGAAACTGTGTTCATAGCTTTGCTCTAGTTCGCCGGGTTCGCTCATTTGGGTGCTCAAACGTCGAACCGTAGCGCGTTTTATCCTGGGAAACCTAGGCCATGGCGCTCCTAGCACTTTTGGGAGGTGGCAAATAAGGTTTTAAGGAAAGAGTGGTCTCTTGACTCACGCTAAAAACCCTTACCCAAACACGAGCCAATCTTTCCTTCTTTCGGTTTTGGATTATGCTTCTAAGCAAAAATCCACCTTTTATGTTCTAGTTTGGTTGGAATTATAATCTGTGTATTATAAATTCCATTTGGTTGATATGCATATATCTTTTCCGTAGATACTCATGCATATAACCATGGTGGTCTGATTTATATATAT